AGAACCAGAGAGTTTGATCTACTGAAAAGGATGTTGCTAAAATGATGTACCATAAAATCTAATTTGGAGGAAGAGAAGAAAGGAAAAACTACTTGTTTGGAAAATCATATATTAGTGTAGGGGTACATGGATCCTGATAGCATCAAAGAATCATTAAAGTGGGAGTAGTTGAACAAGCAACACAGAAGGAGAGGATGCTGTAGGCAGAGAGTAGGGCGTTTGAATTAATGACTTTGGAGTTGGCACAGTACAGTTGATCAGATACAGGATCCAAGGGAGTCTGTGGCTGAACAAGGGTGGAAGTCACTAAAGATGAAAGGCCTTGGGTTTGACTCCATCAAATCTCTTTTATTTGCAATTGATAGAAAACCCAAATCAAACTTGGAAAGGGAATGTAGAAGGCTTTGTTATTAAAAAGTCAAGGGATAATTTAGCTTCAGGCACAGCTCTCATGACGTCATTAGTATCTGGACTCTCTCCATCTTTCAGCCCCTCTGTTCTCTGTGTGCACTCCCATCTCTGGTAAGCTCCTCTCTAGTGGTAGCAAAACAGCTTCCAGCAACTCCAGGCTTTCATCCTCATCAGTCCAAGACAGAGTAGAAAAGAATAAGCCTAACTAAGCTTAAATCCTGGGCCTTATTCTGATTGGTCCAAATTCGGGTCACATTCCCATCTTTGAACCAATCACTGTGATCACAGGCATGCATTGCTGGGATTGGTCAGACCTGAGTCTCATATTCACTTGGAGGATTTTCATCCAAACAAAAATGGGGTGTTGTTCCCAGAAGAGTCAATGTATGCTGGCCAGCAAAAACAAGAGATGTCTTTCTTCTTCTACAGTGTTGAGCAGGTTGTTAATGAGGTTATTCAAGTTGGTAGCAGAGATTGGGGTGGAGAGGAATCCCACAAAGCCAGTCTTTGATGCAAGAGGAGGCATGGCCTGTCATCATGACTTCACATGTAAAACAGAAGTTGGAGTGTTAGTACAAGTGCCTTTTGATAACTTTTTGTGTTGTTAATCCTCACTGGAGGATTTTTTTTTTCATTGACTTTTAGAGAGAGTAGAAGGGAGTAAGGGAGGGGAAGAGAGAGAGAGGTAGAGAGAGACATTGATGTGAGAGAGACACATTAATTGGTTGCCTACCCCACACACCTGATTGGGGCCGAGGATCAAACCTGCAACCCAGGTACATGCCCTTGACCGGGAATCGGACCAGTGACCTTTTGGTGCTTGGGCCGACGCTTTAACCACTGAGCAACACCAGCTAGGACAGACTGCAAGATCTTTGAGGGCAAAGAAGTTTGTATCCCTGGTACCTACTAGTAGGCCTGATACTCAAAATATTCCTGTAAATAGATGGATAGATAAGTGGATAGTAAATTATAGATGAATGAACGAATAAATGAACCACTTTATTTGAATATATCTTAGGAATAGACTCACAGTATTTGATGGCAAGTATTTAACAAACAAGTGCCTTTGTAAAACATATCTCTTCTGTTCAACTACATAAAAAATGGAGCATTGTGAAAATAACATACACTCGGAAGTCACAAACCCAGATTTGCATCTTGGCTCTGTGTGAACCTTGTGCAAATTATTTAGCTACCCTGAGTCTTAGTTTCCTCATCTGTAAAATTGGGTAATGTTAGAGTGACACCTCCAGGGGGAAAGGCCAATGAAACAATCTCCCAAGAGTATCCATATGTAACATTAATAATTTTGATAACCTTGTAGATAGGGCCTCATTCTCAGCCTGACAAAATAAAAACAACAACAACTTCATTTCATCATCACATGGAGAGGGAAGCCATTTCACAGAGGCTCAGATGACATTAACCAAATGAGACAGGTAGATGCAGTAATCAGAATGTCAACTTACTCATTTACCATGAGACATTTTTTGGAGTATCCAAATAACTATCACATTTTCTTCCTGTGTGCACCTGTATGTGGGAAGGACAATCATAACTAGAAGATTGTTGCAATCAGGCAAGGGGACTTGGGCTGCCGTGATGGGCCAGCCACTGGGAAACCCTCAGAAGAAGTGGTGACAGACAGGGTTTGTCCCCATGACCTAGGATGAGTTTGTATGTCTTCGTTTTGTTCTAGTATATATTTATGTTTCGGAAGGTATCTTATTTTCCTCGCATTGCAATGTCTCGGGGAAAGGCTGATCCCAGCTCCTAAAATATCAACAATAAAAAGAACAACACCTTCTTCATCGGTGCAGCCTGCACGTCAGCAGTAGGGGTTTCTTTGGCCTTTAAGATCTGGGTCAGATGGCTTGACTCCCCATGCCCATCCCTGTGAAAGTCCTAAGCCCATCTAAGATTTCAGCAAATCCTTGTGTTCCTGTAGACTCCTCTTCCACTTGCTTCCTCATGATCTCTGCTCAGTATATGTCAATTCAGACACGAATCACAGCTGCTTCACTGATAGCCTCCAAAATGAAAAATAAAAAAATCCCACTCACACAAACCTTTCCTGAGCAGACTCTGCTAAAGAACTGAGGAGGCAGGGAGAAGTCTCGGGAAGGATTGTTCTACACATGACTCCACAAGCTGTTAAAACACCCATATGAGACAGTCCTATCCTGCTAAGGTCCCTCTGAGCACTCTGATACCAGGGTTCCTGTCCTGGCCCTTCTCACCATTAGTCCTCCTCCCCACACCTCTTTCCCTCTCTCTCTCCCTTCTCCCTCCTCTGCTCTCTCTCCCACCCCTCCCTCTCCAACACATCAGACAACTTCCTCTCTTGGACTCAGAAACAGAGGTTCCACCCCCTCTCTGGAGCCTCCTCCACAGCTGGAATCCAGGCCAGGGCATTTCACCTTCTAACTGACCAAAGGTATTTTCCAAACAAAGACTACTCCTTTCTAAATCGAATTTTGGGGCCAGCTGTTAATAAAATAAAAGTATTTCCTACCTGGTTGTAAAGTGCCTGGGCTGTACGTTCAATAAACAAGCTTCCATCCACTCCTCTTGTTCCTCTCCATTTATGCAACACATTGTTAATCACTGATAATTTCAAGATGACCAAGATGTCTCTGCTCCTCTCCACATTCCTATGTTGGTTGAGAGGACACCCTCAAACAAAATATCCCATAGCCATCGGCTTTTAAAGACTGGTGCCAAATACTGGCTCCCCAATTTACTGGCTTTGTGATCTTGTGCAAATTACTTACTGGCTTCAATTTCTCCACCCAGAAAATGAGAGGATGGACTAGCTTAAAGACTTCTTGGGTGTGGCTCAGTAGGTTGAGTGTCATCCTGTGCACAGAAAGGTTGCTGGTTCAATTCCCGTGCAGGGCAAATGCCCAGGTTTTGGGCCCAATCCCTGTTAGGAGACAGCCAATTGATGTTTCTCTCTCTCCCTCTTCCTCCCTCTCTCTCTAAAAATAAAATAAGACTTCTCAGGAGGATTAAATTAATTACTTTGCTAGTACATAGTAAGGGCTCAGTAAATGTTAGCTGCTTAAAAATATTATTTTTTGTTTCTTTATCTTCAAATATGTGACTTCATCAATGTAAAAGATGAGAGAGTTTAACCTTTGCATTTTAATAAACTCAACCTTGAGCTAGAGACTAAAGCATTAGAGTTAGGGTTCAACTTGGCTTATGGCCTATATATACCCTGCCAGTACCATAAGCCACAGAGGATGGCCAAGTACTAACTCAGTTGGGACCTGCATTCAGAGATGGAGGGGGTAGTAGAGACATGATGAAAATACACTCCAAACCAGAGTAGCCTAAACTGGGAGAGACACCAACTATCTGGGTCTAGTTCATTTCTGGGTCAGAGGATTCAGGCCTGGAGGGTCCCGGGGCTGGCTAGCATCATGACGAGCCGCTCCCACTATCCCACTAGACCTGTCCTGTATCTCCTGTGAATCTCAGAGATGGGAAGAACTGAGACACCACAGACTCTCCCAGAGAGGATAAAGGCTGCCCTCTAGTGTCTGCAGCCCCAAGAACAGCCAAACTCCTTGATTCAAATGAGCAAAGTGGGCTCTCTGGTCCAGGCTGCTGCTCTCATGGCCATAGCTGACTGCTGAGTACCATCTTCCCCCATCACCTACCCATCCCCTGGAGCCTCTGCCCCGCACAGGAACAGACTGGTTGGACTACTTGCTGCAGCCTCTGGAAAAACAGGGTTAGGAATGGAGTGGGAGAGCCAGGCATGGGTTGAGTGAAACCAGTTCCTCCCAAGGCGGGCCCAGATGAGGGGGAGGAAGAGGGAAGGAAGGAAGGGAGCTCTGAGGGGACTGCCAGGCCAGCTCCACAGGACACATCTTGAAGGGGGGTGTGATTAAGTGGGTCTTTCTCCTTGCAGAAGGCACAGTTGTCTGGGCCTGGACACAGGGGGCTGCCTAAGGACAGGGAGGGGCAGAGAAGATTATGGTTCACCTAAAAACTACCTAAAGGACACATTTCTACAGAAACCCGTTTAGATTTAGTCCCTACACCCAGAAGTACATTATCCATGTGGCTTTATAAACTCTCCTTGCAGACTTGCGCTTCCCTTGTGTGACTCTGGGTTCCGGCTCATCCACGCTGCCTGGCTGCGTCAGGGTTAAGCCGCCAGGGGAAGAAGTTTGTGTTTTGACTCTTCATCCCTGGGCACCTCTCCACGATTGGCACATATCGCACCCCTGGCACATAATGTTACCCCTGTCATCCTGGTCCTCTTTGCAGAAGTGTGCGCTTAAAAGCGGAAGCGTGACAGCCTGGGGGCAGTGACAAGCCCTAGGAGATGCCTAGCGACCTGCGGGGAGGTCCCGGCACGCCCCGCTGTGGGGAAATCTACGCCTGGTCGGGAGGCCGCCCTCACTGGAGCAGTGTGATGCGCGGCCAAGGGTGGGGCGCCAGGGCCAAGACTCGCTGTGCGCTCCCCTGCGCCTGGCTGCCCTGGCCGGCCGCCAGCCCCGCTCCAGGGGCGGGGGCGGAGCGCGGCCCTTTCTGGCTGGGGAGGAGTGGCCGCGGCCGGGAAGGTCACTTGGCCGCTGGGCTAGCTGCTGTCTGTCACACGCGCCCCGCGCCCAGCTCAGTGGTTCTCCCTTCTCCAGGCTCACCCGCTCGCACGCGGCTCGCACTTGCGCTCTGGAGCAGCGGGCTCTGAGCAAGCTCCTCCATCCCCATCAGAGACCCCATGGGTCCCCAGGCCACCTGCCCTTGCTGGGGCTACCTGTCTCGCCTCCAGGTGAGGACCTGGGCCGAGCCCGTGGTGTTCTCCACTCAGGTGGCCAGCTCCCTCTACGATGCGGGGCTGCTCCTCGTGCTGCATGAATCCTTCGGGGCCAGAGTCTCCAACCACAGCGCCAGCCCTTCGCCCCGGGAGGCTCTAGAGGACCAAGGGCAGAGGGCCATCTCCAATTTTTACATCATCTACAACATCGTGACAGGCCTGACGCCCCTGCTGCCTGCTTACATCCTGGGCTGGCTCAGCGACCGCTACCACCGCAAGATCTCAATTTGCGTGGCCCTGCTGGGCCTCCTGCTCTGCCGCCTCATGCTGCTGTTCAAGGTGCTGTGGGACTGGCCGGTGGAGGTGATGTACGTGGCCGTGGCGCTGAATGGACTCTGCGGAGGCCTCTCAGCCTACTGGGCCGGAGTTATATCCCTGGGCTCCCTCGGCTCCTCAGAGGGCCGCCGCTCGGTCCGCCTCATCTTTATTGACCTGATGCTGGGCCTGGGGGGGTTCTGTGGGAGCATGGGCTCCGGGCATCTCTTCCAACAGGTGTCTGAGAAGGCCTGGCAGGGCCTGGTGCTGACGGTCTGCAGCGTGAGCTGTGCCTCTTTTGCCCTTTTCTACAGCCTCTTGGTCCTGAAGGTCCCTGAGTCGGTGGCCAAGCCCAGAAAGGCACTCCCCGCT